ATCAGTCAAAGTGCGGAGCAAGTTTATATTATTCAAACATAGTGGTAAAAAATGTTATAATTTGTTCCTGTTCAGTATCCAGTATCCACCAGCTATCAATTTCTTGACTTGCTACCTATAGCTTTTAGACTATTCTTCCAGTATTCTCGTTAGTATTTAGCAAGAATGCTAAAAATTACTATAAAAACTATCTATAGTTACCACAATTACCAAATTATGATGGTCTAAAAGTTCATATTATTCAAACATAGTGGTAAAAATGATTTATAATCCGTTCCTGACCAAACTGTCAGTATTCAGTATCCAGTATCTATCAGCTATCAATGTCTTGACTTGTTGCCTAGAGCTTTGAGACTATTATACCAGTATCTTCGTTAGTTATTAGCAAGAATGGTAAAAATTACTATAAAACCTATCTATAGTTACCACAATTACTACATTAAGATGGTCTAAATTAGTCAAGGTGCGGAGCAAGTTCACATTATTCACACATAGTGGTAAAACAGATTTATAATCCGTTCGTGTTCAGCAACTGTCAGTATTCAGTATCCAATATCCACCAGCTATCAATTTCTTGACTTGTTGCCTATAGCTTTGAGACTATTTTTCCTGTATTTTCGTTAGATATTAGCAAGAATTCTTAAAATTACAATAAACATTATCTATGGTAACCACATTAGGATGGTCTAATTAGTCAAAGTCCAAAGCAGTTTACATTATTCAAACATAGTGGTAAAAAAGCTTTATAATTCGTTCCTGACCAAACTGTCAGTATTCAGTATCCAGTATCCACCAGCCATCAATTTCTTGACATGTTAGAGCTTTGAGACTGTTATACCAGTATCTTCGTTAGTTCTTAGCAGGAATGCTACAAATTACAATAAAAACTATCGATAGTGACCACATTAGGATCATCTAAATTAGTCAAGATACGGAGTAGTGCGGAGCAAGTTTGTTATTTAAACAGTGGTAAAAAAGATTTATAATCCGTTCCTGACCAAACTGTCAGTATTCAGTATCCAGTATCCACCAGCCATCAACTTCTTGGATCAGTTGCCTATAGCTTTAAAACCAGTCATCCCATCTCCTAGTCAGATGGAATCAAGAATGCTATAAAGTACTCGGCTTGATCACAACGTATCGCATTACGCGCTCTCGACGATCTTAGCATCTGATACGGGTATAATTAATATCATCGAAGACGATGTGGTTGCGCACCTAGGTGGATCTAAGTGAGGATAAACGGTACGAGCAAAGCTCAAAGACTTGAAGTATTACATGGGATATAGGGTTATTAGCATCAATCGCATGTTTTAACATCTTGCTGAATCTTTGATCTTTGCCATTTGCGTAATTTATTAATCTGCTTACTTCTATCAACTGTATGCAAAGTTTTTATAAATGAGGATAATCAACTATCTTGGCTTAGCCACACAATGTCTCTGTAATCGTTGTATCATTAGCACCATGAGTCAACAATATCCTTAGCTTAAAAATTAAGTTTGGAGGCCAACTCTTGGATAAAATATCTATGTTATGTTACTGATCTCCCATGGTAAAGTAACATGTCACCAATAAGAGTACGTTGAAGATAGTTGCTATTCTCGGCGCACCTTTTTTACTATAATATGGCGTTTTTTTTAATATTGGCTCTCAACGTGTTGGTAGTTTCGAAATTCACAAAGAGCTATACTAATTGTGTTTCAGCGAGATTTAATTCCATTTTGGACACTCACCACTGTGAAAACCTAACCTCCAAATAGCACAAATGTCAAAGTAAATTAGTTGGGCTTCATGTTTTTTTTTTATTTACAAGTGCAACTATGGGAAAGTCCTTATTTCGAACTGCTCTATGTTAATTCCATGATGCCATATAAAATTAAACATTTAACCGAGAATAACTACATTACAATTATCACAACATGATCTTATCCTAAGATATGAAACCGTAAATTAGACTTAGATTTTAAAGTTATTATCATAAATATGGATCATATTGCTATATTCTTGTAAACAAAATCTTAGTTTACACCACTATAATTAAGCCTATTTGGACTTATGGCATTGAACTTTGGGGTTGTGCTAGTAAGTCCAATATAGTTCTTATACAACATGCCCAATCAATGATTTTGAGACAAATCGCTGATGCCCCCTGGTTCATCAGCAATCAAACTATCCACAATGATCTTAACATTCCATATATTGTGGATGTAATTAGCAGCAATAGCCTCCAGCATCACTTAAAACTGTAAACACACCCAAACCACATAGTTTCAGCACTACTCGAGATCCCTAATTCTAGAAGACTGAAGAGGATATTTCCGTATGATATATATTAATTTATTTAATTAACTAATTAGTTAACTGATCAATGAAACAGTTTTCTATTCTATTGTTATATTTATTATTATTATTATTATTATTATTATTATTTATTTATTTTTTCTTTTTATAATTTTTATGATTATTATTTCTATTTATTTGTTATTATTATTATAGTTATTTATTTATGTTTAGATATTAATTATTATTTTTTCCTTTACTTTACATTATAGATTTGTTTAGATTATGTTCTCACTGTAGCTCATAGAATTACTTTATTCTGATTGTTACAAAAAAAATTAATAAAGAAAAAAAAAAAAAACTATTGCTATATTTTCCGAGCAATTTAGTTACATCATTCGTTTTTCAATAATTATATAATTAACATGTTTTAATTGCTTCCATTGTAGTTCATTAAGGTTACATTAGTCATAATTGTTGTTTATTTGTGCGTATTTCAAGAATTTACCAAAACTCTTCTTCTTCGATCACTCAGGTTGTTAGGTTATTATTTAACCTTTGTCGCTGTGGACTGTATTAAAAAACTGATTCAAATTTATATTCTGTATTTGTTGCAGTTCTAATCACAATAACTGATGTATTATTAAGTATTAATGAAGAAAAATATATTTATGCGTATAGGTTAGGTACATGTGTTTAAGTCGGCTTCACTTTTAGAACAGAACAACTAGTTCCTTTGAAACACTCCGCTACCCCCTCTCTACCAGGGGTAGCAACCATTCCGTATAAAGCTTAATGCTCTGAAGTTTTGTAAACTTTCATGGCCAATATAATAAAATGAAAAGACGTCCGAACATGCCGGCCGCCTTGAAAAGCTACAGCTTTTAAAAATATAAACATAGATATTTTGAACTAACATTAAGTATAAAAATTGTATAAAGATTTTACGAGTATAAAAATTGATTAAAAATGTAATAGTGATTTGCATGACAATCTAATCTAAAATTATTTAACTTATATTTCTTAATATTATATAAAACTTAAGATATTTCATTATTGATTGGTAGAATGCACACTTTGTTTAGTGCCCTTTTTAATTCTCCATTGGGGCCCTTCAGTGTAACAACCCGTACGACACCATCATTGCCTGGGTGTATCTCTGTGATCCGTCCAAGACGCCATTTTAATGGTGGTAGATTGTCATCCTTTATAAGCACCAGTTTGCCTATAAGATTATCTTGTTCCATTGGTCTTCTCCATTTGGTCCGGGATTGTAATTCTCCTAGATATTCCTTGTGCCATCTTGCCCAAAAATGCTGCCTTAGCTTTTCAAGATGCTGGAGTTTTGTTAGTCTGTTTTCTGGGATGTGGGAAAGTGAATTTTCTGGAAGTGATGTTAATGATCTGCCGATCAGGAAATGTGCTGGAGTTAGTGGATTGAGATCAGATGGATCAGAGGATAAGGGAGTTAACGGACGAGAATTCAAAATTGCTTCGATTTGTGTTAATAATGTATACATTGAATTGTAACATAGTTTTGTCTCGCGTAACACCCTACGAAGATGGTATTTTAAACTTTTTACCCCAGCTTCCCACAGTCCGCCGAAATGAGGAGATCTAGCTGGTATAAAATGCCAGCTAATATTTTGACTTATTAATTTGCTTCTAATCTCTTCGTTAGATTCCAATAAAAATTTATATAAATCTTTTAAATGATTGTTTGCTCCAACGAATGTTGTTGCATTGTCCGAAAATATATTACTAGGAAGACCTCTTCTAGCACTGAATCGTTTTAATGTTTGTAGAAAGGATTCTGTCGATAAATCGCAGACCAGATCCAAATGAATAGCCTTGGTGCACATGCAAATAAAAATACAAATATAAACCTTAATAAATTTGGCACCGCGTGTTATTAGATCTTTGATAATAAACGGTCAAGCATAATCAAGGCCGACATTGTTAAATGGAAAATCTTGATTAACTCTACTACTAGGCAAATTTCCCATTAGATAATCATTTGACGATGGTTTTGCTTTGAAACAGGTAACGCTTTTCCGAATAATTTCTTTACAAGCGTTACGTCCAGAAATTGGCCAAAATCATTCTCTAATACTTGCGAGAAGTTGTTGAGCACCACAGTGAAGTAATCGGTGATGCTCTTGATACAATATTAACGTAGTTAATTTATGTTTTGAGCATAATATTATAGGATTAATTTTATCAAATGAATAATTTGTGTTTTTTAATCGACCGCTTACTCGTATAATTTTCGAATTATCCATAAAAGGATTTAAACATAAAATTCTGCTCTCTTTACTGAGCGATTTAGAATTGACAAGATTCTTATAATCTAATTGGAAAGATTGTTTTTGTGCAACTACTATCAATACTTTAAAAGCCTTATCTAATTCTTGTGTTGTAAGTGGTCCAAACTTCCGTTTATCCTTATCCTTTTTAAGTCTACAATTCGTAATAAATCTATTTACATATGCCATTATTGATTGTAATTTTCGCAATGACGAAAACCGAGAAAATAAATCAAATTCTACATTGGTGACTAATAAATGAATTGCTCTTGTTTCTGGTATGTTTTTGTCATTAAAATTTAAATTATCTACAGAATTCAAAGTTGTAATATTTTGAGACAGCATAAAGGTCATTTAATTAAAATCTATGTTAATTATGTTATGTTGTAAGCAGAAGAATAAAATTTTATTTTATTTTGCCAATTGTTTAAGATAACGTATAGCTAAAAATGATCCAGGTGCTGTACCATATGTGACCGTATTTAATTCACAAGTTTTTGAATTATCTGTTGGAATTTGTCTACCGTTTTCATTAATTATTATTTGCCGATAAATTTTTGAAGTATCGCCTAATGAAGCATATGTAGGCATTCTAAATCTTAACATTTTTGTAAATAAGTCATTTCGAATTGACGTTCCCGTATAATGAACATCACACATTGGCAAGGCGCTTGAAGACTTTCCCGAACTTTGAAAAACATCTCTCGGTTTTGTTTTTAAACTATATTTATTCCTTACTGTGCGATGTGGCAAGAAATATTGATTATTTGACTTAATCTTAAAATTCTTAACTTCAGACATATGTCCTAACTGAATATATTCGTTAATAAAATTTACGTAATCTACTTTTAATAAACTATTTTTGTGAAATTTACGTTCAAGTGTCAGAAATCTTTGAACAGCATGACTTTTAGAATCTCCTAAGTGAACTTTGTTATCTTTAAAAGGAATTTTCACTATAAATCTACCAGTAGAATCGCGTTTAAAATTTGTTATAAAATGATTTTCACAAAACGTTTCGTCGTCAGTTAAATTACTAATATCGTTTTTTATTTCTTCTAATTGCCAAAATTTTTCTAATTGTTGACTGAGATCACAATTATTCAATGCCAATAAATTTGTTGAATGTTTTGAATTTTTTGAATACGTGCAATTCGGAGAAAACGACCCAACTAATATCCAACCTAATAAAGTTTTCTGTAAAAACGGTGCGTTATCACCTAATTTAATTCTACCTACCGATAAAAGTTTCCAAAACATATCAGCCCCTAAAAGTATATCTATATTCCGCGTCTTATTGTATTCCGGATCAGCTAAGAAAATATTTGTCGGAATTTTAAAATTGTTACCTATGGAAACTAATGGAAGTGGTTCTGTTATTTTTTCTAGCACTAAACAATTTATATTGGATTTAAATGAGTTATTTGTAGATTTAAAATTAACATTTGTTGAGAACCGAATATTGGTCTCTATCTGCCCGACGCCCATAACTGTGTAATTTGTTTTGTCTAGTTTTGTACCTAGCCTTTTGCAGGTATCTGCCGTAATAAAATTACTCTGTGCCCCGCAATCTAAAAGACACCGACATTCTATGAACTCCCCGCACGAGTTTTCTACTTTTATAACAGCTGTTGCTAAAATTACTTGTGGCTGTAATTTTGTATTAATATTTTTCGTCGAATAATTAGCCACCGTCATATTTGAACCCGATGTGCTAGGAATTGTATTAGTCTCTTCAAAATGAACCAATGTATTATGTTTCATTTTGCATATTTTACACGGAAATGCCAAACAAACGTCTACCTTATGCCCTCGCTTGAAACAATTTATACATAAATTCAATTCTTTGATTTTACTTATCCTATCATTAATAGATAGCGCTTTGAATTGGTTGCAGTAATATAAAGAGTGATTTTCTTCACATAAATAGCAAGTTTGCCGCCCCGTTGACAGATAATTAATTGATGGATTATAATTATTATTTGTGCTCTTGTATTTTATGTGTTGAGCCAAAGATTTATTAATATTATTAGAAAAAGGTTTACTACTAATGTTTGTGGATAACTTTTCTAACATATCGCATTTTTGTTTAATAAAATTATTAATATCTGTCAACGTCGGCTTTTCTTTGCTACAGGTAAAGGATTCCCAATCCCGTAACGTACGCGTATCGAATTTGTTCGTAAATATAAATATAATAATTGTGTCCCATTTATCTGTGGGTTCGCCTAATGACTCTAATGAGCGTAGATGCCTAGAAATCGTTTCTAATAACGTTCTTAATTCTGAATGAGATTCGCGACTACATTTCGGACTATCAAAAATTGCCTTTATGTGATTATGTATGATTAACCGTTTATTTTCAAACCTGTCTTTTAAAATTTGCCATGCTATATCATAATTAGAATCGGATGCTTCTATAGCTGCAATGCTATTTTTGGCATCTTTTTCTAATGATGATTTTAAATAATAAAATTTCTGAATTTTGCTTAAAGTATTGTCGCTATGCACCAAAGCGTTAAATGAATCATGAAATTCTAACCATTTATCGTAACTTCCATCAAACGTGGGAAGTTTAATTGTTGGCAATTTAATATTTTTGATATTTGTATACGAATCAATGCTAGACGGCCCTATTGTTTGTTGATCGTCTTTACATTTTTTCGTGTCATTGAAATTTTGAATTATAAATTTTAATTTAGCTATTGTTCTATAATAATCATTTTCGAAAGATTCCTTATCGCTTTCTGATACACCCTCAATTAATTCAATTTCATATTGTATCGTTTCAAATTCATCAATAATTGGTAATATCTTTTCGAGTCTGGTATTTAATTCAATAATTATATTTTCATCTAGTATTGTGGAATCTAATGAATTTACAAAATTTTGCACTCGCGTCAATTTGGATTTAATGAATCCACGCTTTGCTTTAAGTTCCGCCATTTTGAATACAATATTAAACACAACCGAGCAATATGTGAAATTATTGGGATATTATGAAAGGAATGAAAACAGACTTACTTGTAATACAGGTGTGTAGATGTTGTAATTGTCCTCAGCCTTCGTTCCCTTGTTTGCTCTGGTCTGACCGCCACGTGGTTTTAAAGTTTAGCCGCTTTGGAATGTTTTTTCTTCACAACACTTAGAAATTTGTTATCACTATTGTACTTTAATTAACTGCTTGTAATTCACGATACGGGTCGAAGTACCAAAATGTTTATTTGTGCGTATTTCAAGAATTTACCAAAACTCTTCTTCTTCGATCACTCAGGTTGTTAGGTTATTATTTAACCTTTGTCGCTGTGGACTGTATTAAAAAACTGATTCAAATTTATATTCTGTATTTGTTGCAGTTCTAATCACAATAACTGATGTATTATTAAGTATTAATGAAGAAAAATATATTTATGCGTATAGGTTAGTTACATGTGGTTAAGTCGGCTTCACTTTTAGAACAGAACAACTAGTTCCTTTGAAACACTCCGCTACCCCCTCTCTACCAGGGGTAGCAACCATTCCGTATAAAGCTTAATGCTCTGAAGTTTTGTAAACTTTCATGGCCAATATAATAAAATGAAAAGACGTCCGAACAATTGTATTTGCAATCAATGGACTATCATTAAGCAAGCGATAGTAATGTAGATTTCTAATAATTTATCCAGTGATTAATTGCATCTAATTTTCATTAATAAATGCTTTATAATTATTTGCAATATTAGTGATATAATGATTAAGCTTGTATGTATTAAATGTCGTTTAATTTTTAACTTTTTTACATAGATTTCATTAGTATACCAATCACATAATATAATCATTTTTCAATGCATGTATAATATAAATAATAATAATATTTATGCATTTTAACTTCACATCTGCGCAATTCTTCATCTGTAATTATAAACTAGGATGTGACCGTAAACTATTTTTACTACTTATCTATCTAACATAAGATTTCAAGAAAAATGATAACTAGTAAATTTTACAAATCAGATGAAGCCATTAAAGATTAAAAATTAAATATATATTAGTAATCGCACTTGGTACAATTTTAAATTTTGAACAAGAAGGCATTTTTTGATCGAGGGTCTTTCTTTCATGCATGGTCTTGATGGCAAAATTTTTTGTGCCTAATTTACTGTTCAACTTCAAGTTCAAATTAAGTTTAATAATTTATGTTTTATCACATCATTAAAATTCAGCAATTTTATGTGAAATTATTGCTATCAAATCGCAAGATTTAGAAATTCACTCTGATTATAGACATGCTAGGACAAATATAATATTCATTATTTTTTAAGGCAGAATTAGTCCCACTAAAATAATGCAATTAATTTTATTTTTCAACAATTCTATACAGTAAGCAAAAGATCATTAACTACTCTTACAATAATAAATTTTCTTATAATAATAAACATCAACACATACTGCTCCTTATTCTTACAAGCTCTTTGACATTCTCATACGTCGTTTGCTCGTTCTTCTACCTAGCAATAATCATTAGTAAAACACGATGTTTTAGTACCCAGAATTCTAAATACAGAAAACATTAAATTTAGTTCTTATCTGCGATAATATCACCTAAGGGAAGGTAACATAATACTTCAGTGCTACCATTGCTACTAACCTTAATTAAAACTAATGTTTATGCCAGTTGAAACGTCGGTTTGATACGTGAGGTCTCGCTCGGTGCTTTATTTGAATTTATTGTCATGCACGGACGTGAAATGTTTGAATATAGTTAAGATCATAAACTATTTTTATATGTTTTTGTAATATTATTATATTTACACGCGATGAAACTATGGAAAGGATTAGAAATAAATTTATTGTGAATATAATCTAACTTAATCGGACTGTGACTAATAGACCTATTCTTGGAAATGCTAAAGCTCTGTTATCTTACTGCATTTACATTACACTACAGAATTTAAACAAATTGCTTTATTTAGTTCAGTTAATTATAATAATTTTAATTTTTTATTCATAAATTTAATTTTTCTTTGACAAATTTTAACAATCGAAGTAAATTGTTTATTTTACAATTAGCAAGTATTGTAAGATCAGAGAAATTGTTTATCCAAGAGAAGGCCTAGATATCCTTATTATATTATCATATAGTGGTACTATAAATTCAACCAGTTTATCAAAAGATATTTCTGACAATTTATTATATATATTATATATGATATTTATTATATATATTATATATTATATATGATATGGTAATCTTATTAATGAATTGATTGCTACAGAAATTAGCGTTGAAACTGGTTTATAAAACAATGACAAAAACTAATACACTTACTTAGTCTAAAAATATAGTTTGAACACATATCAGAATTATTCTCAATATTCTACGAGCTATTGATTTATAATTCCTAAGGCCTAGCATTATTAGAAAGCAACCCAGTGGCTATTTATTATTTTTTGTAAAATATGGCTGAAATAAAGTCACTCTTGTAAAGTGATATGGTAAATTTATTAAGCAATTGGTCGCAACAGAAATTAGTGTTGAAACAAATTGATAAAACTAATTTCAAATACTTATACACTGACTTGGTTTAAAATTGTATTTTGAATTATATATATGAATTATTCTCATTATCTTTGAAATAGTGTTTTCTTATGCCTAACCATTAATAGAATTCCAAGGCAACCCAGTGGCTGTCCATTATTTTTATAATCCAGTTATTAGTTGATATTTCTAGTAGCAATGTAATATATATTGTTGTAATGCCCAGAAAATCTTTTTCCCTGGAAATTGTATCTTTGTTTCAGTATCAGTACTGCTAGTGTATATAGCACCAATGTACTGTATTATGATAGGAATAGTTAAAGACAGGAATTGAATTAGGAATTGAATTAGTAATTGAAGAAGTTAATATAGAATTGGCAAAAGTATACACAAAGGTCATCAGAACAGTCATAATCTTTGTATTCTATGAGATGTTGTTAAATAATTTCTTTGGCATAGCATTATTAGAAGGCAATCCAGTGGTGGGTATTCTTTTCTTTTGTGATGAGGTCGTTATTAAATATTTTTAATAACTAAATGATATATATTATATCAATGTCCATAAAAGCTCATATTAAAAATTAGATTTAATTTTGTTTTACTACTTCTCCATATCAAGCTGTCTGATACGGAAATTGAACCTCGAAACTTGTGCCTACAAGACCAAATCTCTTATTACTATTCTACGGACTAACTCATTCTAGAGAAGAAATAAAACTTTTATTATTCTTCAACAATTTTATTTCCTATTCCAATAGGCGAAACTGTCCTACGCATCCGAGCTAAAGAGTAAAGATTGTTTTGTTGCTTCATCATGATAAATTTAAATATAAATTTATCTTGTTTATTAACACAACAGTATAATACAGATTTTTTTATTTATATGCATAATAGTATTTTTCCAATTGCGACCACAAGATTTCATATTGAATAACCAGGTTGTCCCTCTTGATATCAAGCATTTTCAAATCTATATCGTTTTCACTCAGAAATATATTTCTAAATATGTTTCCAAATTAATTAAGCAAATGGAAAACAAGATTCTGTTTAAATAAATTTTTTGGTATTAAAGAATTATATGACTTTCAAATCACAGCGACCTATGATATACGCATTACTGTATATGAAAATGTTATTTCAGGTTTCACCACAACAGATCATAGTTCTGATTGCTGATAATATGCATTTTCAAGTTATTTGCGATATTATAATTCATGTATTTTTTTTAAAAGCGCATAATTGCATT